CCTCCTTCAAGTAATTGGACACTCAATCACTTTTCATGTGGCTGAAAAATAAACATGCTTGGAGCAAATTTATGGTGTTTAGTTCAGCAACTGAATCAGTGATGCTGAAATATCAGTAAATGCTCAGCGGTCTGATACTGGAAATTAATCTGAGTTAAGTTATTGCTACTTTTAAAATGTGCAACAAGAAAAAATTGCTAATTTTTAAAAATCTAAATGGAACTAGAGGTTTGACAGATTCATTCACAATTGTTTTGAGTTGTTTTTCTACAAAGGCACTGAGACTGGTTAATATTTTATTCTATGTTGCATAATTATCCTAAAATTGCTGATGGGTGTTTAACAACAATGTAAAAAGGATTTTGTGACACTGCAATAAAAGTAGCAGCATACTGCCAGACTGATAGTTACACCCACTCCGACTTGTAGTTGGAAATCTCGTTTTATAATTTAAGCAACAGATAGATTAGATCATGATCCTCTCACAGCAGATAAACTGTGAGAGGACCTGCAAAATAAAACCCCACTTAGAATTTAATTTTTGAAAATGAGGAGTGAAAAAATAGTTATTTGAAGAAGTGAATGCCATTTTTTGTTTCATCCTTCTGTAACCAGATAATGTTTTAGCACATTTGTGGGTCAATTCTGACCCACAAATGTGCCATCTTCTCAAAAATGACGTCTACAAAATGAATTTCATAATTCTCTGAAGTTTCCGGGTTTATTTAAATAGTTCTGGTATAAAAATAAAAAGGTATGACTACAGAGAATACTCTAGAGGTCTAAAAAGCGACACTTATGTTAATGACTGACAACACATTAAGATGTCACAGAATGAAAAACGGGGGAATAAATCATTTCCACCTATAAAAAAGGCAATTCATGATGTGAATAGCCCTTTAAAAGTGTGAATGCAGTCTAACTTTTCTCAGAACCCACTGGTCAAATCGGATGATTGACACGTCCATCCACCATCAGAGCAAACAGAATCCAAAAATCACGTAACCTATACGACTCTGCAATAATGCATTTTCCGTCAAGCAAGGGAATGAGTCAGAGTTTTCTACACGGTTCTCTAATATGGATCATGATCATAAAACAGCAAAGGAAAGATTGAGTTTGTTTTTGCCTTCATGAAATAAGTCTAATTTTTTTCTGTTCTTCAGCTGCTGATTCACTGAGTTTTTTTTTATTTTTTTTATGAAGGGTGGCGACGCCTATTCCGTTAGAAAGAGCAGTTTGAGCTTTTATTTAAGAAGTAGTTGGTGTGTTTTCCTGGGTCTTTAGTTTCCATTAGCATTTCTTTCATTTAGCTGCTCAGTGTCGGAAGTAGGTCTTGTTGAGGTTTAAAATCTTGTTGCTGTCATTTAGATGAGCCTCTTGGATATGCAATACGAATATATTGGTCCGTGTGTAACATGTGTTTGCATTGGTTTTGCTGGTGGAAACACTGCTGCCCACAAGCACCAGGGGATGTAGAAGTTGACACTGAAACTGGACCAAAACACACATCCTGACCTGCAGCCACAATCAATCTGACACTATGTAAATTTTCAGAATACAGCCGAAGTGCAATGAGGATAAGAGCTGAATGTATCGCAATGGAGATCGATCCCACTCATACGAGTTAGCAGTAGATTTCTGTGGGATGCAGAAGATACTTAGTTTTAAGTTCAAAGCTTAGCTCACAATGTTAAATAAGTCCAGCAGCTCAAATGGAGATGTTGGTCAATACTGTTCGAAAAATCATTGTCAAGTATTTGAATTAGATAAGAATATTTGCTTTTGCTTAAGATTTTCTCACTTTTTCTTTCTTTTTTTTTAACCAGGCCAATGGCTCAAAACAATGGAAGTGAGGAGGTATTCTAGCAGAAAATGTGCAGCAGTATATTATAATTAACAATTCTTTCCAAATAAAACCACAATGGCAGAATATTGCTGACCTACTATAAATTATTCATAACATCTAAACCAGCAGTCTGAAATTTATCCTCAACTGTCACTGCCCTGCAACTTTTGGATGCATCTTTGCCCCAATACACCTGAATCAAATGAATCATTAATGACAAGGCCTTTGCAAAATTTGCTGACATGAGAAGTTTAGAAGTTAATACTGAAACTAGACCAAAGCACACATCCTGACCTGGAGCCACAATCAATCTGACACTATGCATATTTTCAATATACAGCCCAACTGCTCTCTGGCCTTAGTTACAGGATGCTCAACACACATGGCAAATGTAGTTTTAGAACAATATTGCCAAAGTATGACCAATGTTGGAGTCAGGAGGCATCCCCGAAGTTGCAGACCTGGATCTAAAGCATGACAAAATACACATCAGACCGTGTGTTTTGGCATCTATGTCATATCTCAGGCTCTGGTTACTGTGATGCTAATTAGAAGATGACAGCTAATATTGTGTTAGAGGCCTCCGTTTGAAAATGGGAAGCCAAAGAGAAGGATGTTGATTCATAGGTGTTAGACATTCATGAAAAGATAACCGGTTGTTACCATATTAATATTTTTCAGTTTCTTTCCTTATTAAACAGGACACATTCTAGTACATCAAGCATTAAAATACAATAAAATAGTTTCAACAAACTTGTTGAATGAGAAGAGCAATGTACTGATGGAAATTTGCATTTTAGACAAAGTAAATGAGAGGTCGGTGGACTGTGCCAACAGTGGAAGTTGTATTTGTCATTCAATCAAGCTAGCATCAAATTTACAAATTCTCCCTCAATCAGATCTGACTGATGATCAGCAGAGCAAACGCTGAAGAGCAAGTTGGATTTTCTGAGTGGTGTGGGCTCCGTTCACTCCATGCATTTAAACTTAAAGTCACTTTTTTGGCCTGTAAACAAGTGAACAAAAAGCATACTTCCTGAAACATTTGTTTCTTACTTTAGTGAAAATCAGATAAATAATATGGACATACGATATCATCTTGTAATCCTTTCCTTTACTATTGAGGAACCTACAGGACTCCTTTGCTTTCATGGTTAATATTTGATCTACCGAATTGTTGAAACAAAAACAAAGTCAACTCAAACAAGTTTGCATGAATTGCAATCCATAAAAGAAAACAACACTTGACCTCAATGGAATCTGAGAACTGGTATTTATGCCAGTATACACCGGATCAGTGCATCTCTAATAGTTGTGATAGTTCTCGCCTCTAATCGGCTGGCATTTGAAATTATTACTATTTATGAAACAGACTGAGGTTCTTATGGTAGAAGTAAAAGTTATTTTTTTACTGTATTTATACATATGTTCAACAAAAAATAACACAGTTTAACTGCTTTAAATGCAACAATTATTCCTACAGCTCCTAAAATAATGATTAATATTCATCTCCATTTGGATACACATACTTGGACAAACTAAAAAAAAAAAAACACTTTAAATTAGGACTTTTTTAAGCGCTTAATGCACAACATATGATCCCGTTTCCCTTGGTTAACTGTAGAGTTGCACAATAATTCAAAATATGTCATCCTAATATTGATAAGTGCTTTACTGATATCACAAAGGACTGTTTGCAATATTTTTTGGCAAATCCATCCCATGAATTAAGTCTAACAAGTTGATCATTAAGGCTATCTGACTGGGGAACTAATCAGTAACAGGATGCTCAACACACATGCCAAATGGCAATATTGTTATAAAACAATATTGCCAAAGTATGTCAATGGGTAATACTCCTGTCACCACAATGCCTGTGTTTTTTGCAGCCAGAAATATTTTAAGTTGGTTAAATGTGTATTTTGTGTGAGGGAGGAAAATGTGTTGCTCCCTTTCAGCCATCTGGCTGGCAGTTTTCAGCTACAGGTAGGAGTGGGTAGGATGCACAGCATTCCTCTATGGTACCCAGACACACTTTCTCTGGCATGTTTTTAAAATACTGTTAAAACATACATACATACAGTAGGGTGGCCAAACATTGTGGATTTAGAAACAACAAGTTTTTAAAACCTTGGTTTATTTGCTACTTTGAATGGCCTGCAGCATACGGTCAATTGATGCTGACCACCTCGTCTGTGCGCAAGTATTTTTAAAGTAAGGAAGTTATTGTTGTCAATTTAGTGTGTTTTTAGCGTATGTGATGTTCACACCAAGACAAAGTATACCACCATTCCGTGAGAGGCTATGTCAAAACAAGTCCAGTCTGGTAAAGCCATGTCTCTTTCTCTCCGTTTACTGGAAGGAATGATACTAAGACTCACCCCTTGTAACAATTAAATCGACATTAATCAACTACGCCTTTACAAAGCAGTCATTTTCATTCATGGAGTCCAACGCTCTCTTTTGCTCAAGTCACTAAATATACACTTCCCCAAACATTGGCAGTCATTACAATAAATAACTGACTGAGGACGTATTTTGTTAAAAAAAAAACCTGAATAATAGACTATTTATTATAAGCAGGGGTGTGATGTAATAGAGAAACTGGTATTTTTCAGTTGCGACTGCGATGCTACTTTAGCATAACCTTTGTTATTGTGAGCTGTGGGCTCGACGGCAAAATGCTACCCAGCTAAAATGCTAGTATGTTGGCACGGCTAGTCTAAACTGTGTCGCTGGAGAACCTCCATTTATTGAACAGAAATGCGATTTTCGTGCAGCTATTTATTCTGTAATGAAATAAAAAGTCACACATAAGACTATCAAACCCTAACATCATACAACAGAGCTAGCTCCTCATTCGCTTTCAATAGCATCACTCGATTTGACCGCAGCTGAATAAAGTTAGCACAGCATTAGCCACCACTAGCTAACCAGATGTAGATAAATGTGTCTATATATGTGTGAATTTGGTTTCTACGCTTTCACAAAGGCTACTAAAATAGCTGAAATGGCAAAACAAGTATTTATGCAGAATGGCAAGTGTTTGGTTCATTTGCTTTTTGACACAGTGTTGTCAGAGTTGGCAGTAGCAGCAGCTAATGTTAGGCACCCGCTACTAATCGGTAGCGCAACGCCTGTTTGCACTCACCAGGATGAGTAGCCTTGCTCCGCCATATCGCCGAAAACAGTGGGTTCCGCGGCTGTGGCTAACACAGATTCAGGTCCCGGTGTCAGCCCGCTGGGACCGGGGAGCGAGGGGTCTCTGCTTTTCCTTCACAATCCGACGTCTTAGTAGTTACTTTTAGGTGACAACATGATAATACATCCCGGCGGCAGCTAGTAATTACTAGCTGGATTTCATGCAATTGAGATGAAAATGATGGTTTGCTATCGTTAGGTGGACAAGACAAAGCACCCCGAGGGAAAAAAAAAACACACAGATGTTATTTTCGTCGGTCTCGCTAGTGTCCTGCCGTCACCTCAGCCGAGATGGCTCCGGTCTGCAACGATGTTACACCCACTGTAGATCCATATTCTGTGCGATGTATCCAGAATAAATTCGGATATTCCTTGAGTCTGCAGCCCGAGCTGATATGGAAGACGCTCAGCTTTGTTTTCTATAGCTAGTCCGCGGGAACGCGCACTATCGCCCTGCTGTAGAGGTTTACAAGTGGGACGAGCACTGAAACGCTGCCATGCACTGAAAACGATTGCAATTATTTCCTTTCATCTGACAGCATTGCAGCCTGTCATGCACGCCTTCCACTGAATCCTGAGCATTGCATCAATAGTAAAAATGAATTAATGCATGAATGAATTTAATAATTAATCATTCCTTTCACAAAGTATTGTGATATATTCAAAAAATAAAAATTAAAAAAAATCACCGATACAGTTGAATTTAATTTAAACACCAAACGTAATTTGGCTATTAAAAATTGGCTATATTTTTAAAATGTATATCTAAAAGTTAAAATGTGATGTGTATTGTTAAATCCACTTGGCCCATTTTGTGACGACAGTGAAAAGAGACAGACCACTAGTGTTATTTTTGTAGCCTGTTGATTACGGTTCATCACTCTGTTTATCAGTCTGTTCAGTGAGGCAGGGATTTCCCTGGTCAAAACACAGACAAACATATGAAAAAACACAAGACAGCAAAGCATAGTTAATATTTCTCAATTTTCTGACATTAAATCAGGATAAAATTATGCTTTTTAGGTTAGTTAGGATTACCAAGATTATCCCCAAGTCATATGCCACAATGAAGGATCTATTTTTAGGACAGTTTTTGTAATTTGATTTACTTTCCTCAGTGCTTTGCTGCTGAAGGTACACAAGATGAAACAGAACATTATTGCACATCAGCAAGAAAATTAAAGTTTAAGTGTGTCGCTCCGATATTTATAAGAGATGTCTTTCTAATTGTTTTACATACAATAAGTATTTCATCTTTATAGATCAATGAGCATAAATTATGTCTTTACTTAGGAATTTTAACAACTTTGTTTTTTTAAAACTAAATTGAGTTTATTGGTTTTGGATAAAAAAGGGGCAGCATTGCATCAAATATACAAATTAGCAGATTAAGATATAATGGATAAAGGTGTTGAAAAAAAGGTTAATGGGATTTTTGTTTTCTTTTCAATATCTGTTGATGGCAACCTTATCATTATTTTCCCATTTCATTGTGCAATAAATTGAGCTAATTGTTTAAAATTAAAATATGCCAGAAGATAACTAAAAAGATATTTTGAATATGGGGCGTAATAAAAAATTACTAGGGCAAAATTTCACTGTGGAAGAAAAAAAATTAAACTGTCCAATTACTTAATTTATTGTTTCGTGGTGGAAACAATTGATATAAAATCAAAGCTACTGAATTTATAAGAATATGTTCCCCCTTTGCATTAGACATAATTATTAATGCAACACATTAAGATAATTTACATCAGTAATTATCTTAACGTAATTATCTTAATCTTCTGATGGCGTTTCCTGTTTTGGTCTATACAAACGTTTTATATTAACAGTGTTACAATGTAAAAATGACAAAGTAGAGATTCAGGGCGAGATCTGAGCACTATACTGTTTTAAGGGTTTATAAATTGTACATCATCCATTGAGAATGACACAGAGGCCACTCTCAATGATGATGGAAACACTTGTCACTTACTTTCATGATCAGCCGATTGTGTAGCTTAATGTTGCAACTTTAAAACACCCAACAATGTTGAAGTTTCAAAGTCCTTGTCCTTGTTAAACAATAATATGCTATTTTCAAATGAGCTCTCATCCCTGGCACTTTGAAGGTAAACTCCATCAAAATCAATTAAAGTTGTTGTTCTTAAATTAAGAACAACATGTGGTGATCGGTTGTTATATCTATTTGCCATTTTGTTGTAATTTGTTATTTAGGATAAAAGCCAAATCCCCTCTTGAAAACAAGCTTTCTTAACCACGAGTGTCTTGTGACATAACACGAGGCATACTTCAACCAATCTTATCTTTTTATCTTATTTGTTTACATGTTTTTAATAAAGTTTATCCTTCCAGTGTGTGCTTATATTCTACTATGACAACAGGAAAACCTCTGAGCTGTTTATGGGAAGATGGATTTTATGGACATGTAAGTAGCAACTCATGAAGAGACTAGACTCGAGCTGCCATAATCTTCTGCCATTTTGTAAAATTTAAAAAAAGGGGGAAAACAAAAGAAAAAAAAAAGAAATGTTTTTGTCGATTAATTCTGTTTTCAAGTCCCAATGATGTTTCCTGGTGAGCAGCTGCAGCCCCAGTTATTTCCACCTAAATTTTTCACCAGCTGGAGAGACATATGAGCCCAGTCAACTTTCTAGAACTGGTAAAAAAAAAACAGAATAAATGTTTTACAGTTCACCCCAGTTACTTTGTCCAAATTCTCTGATGAGCATTAAAATTCTCAAAACTGTTAGTTCATCTTCCACAACATTTAGTTCTTTGTACATATCAAAATAGCAGTTTCTCATTTCTTCCAGCCATCTGCAAGTGTTTTTGGACATGCATCAATTGATTCCACACAATGCTCTGCTTTTTTACAACATTGTCATTTGGTTATGTCATGTTAATAAAATTTAACTGAATTCTGAACAGTCAGTCCCTATAAAACTAATTGTCCCCATTTCAGTGCTTGAAATGGGGACAATTTCAAGCAAGTTGTCAAGAGATTTGCTGACAACTTGTTCAACAAATCTGTTGAAGTAGTTATCAAAATTTATCAATTTTACGCCTTTCTTCATCATACTTCCCGGAAAATGTCTCACACACTAACAATAATGATTTATCTCAGGTGAACCTAAGATTTCACTGCTGAGGAGTGTGTGAAGCATTAGTTGCAACAGTTCCAATGTCTACTGCAATATCGTTTACATTTTTGCACAGCTTTTCCCAAAAGGTGCAAATAAGTTGTATACTTTTGTGTCTGCACAATGCTTTGAAGAATTAAAAGTAAAACATATCAATAGCATATATAGTAAAAAAGTGAAATAAACATTCACTGTCTGGTATACCTCTACTTCACTAAAGTGTAGATTTATGCTACACAGAGTGAAATGTAATAAAAACATGAGAGAGTCATTTCACTATTTTCTTCATAATCAACAGTGTCAGGACTTTTCATTTTGATGACACTGACATTTTCACTGACATGAACACTTGCTTTTGAGGAAAGAATTGTTCCCCATTGTTCATAACTTTGCAGGTTAAACACCAGGTTTTGAAGAGTGTATTAATAGTTTACAGAAATATACAAAGTGTTGTGCAAATGCTCATTGCACAACACTTTCACTAAAAGCACCTAAAAAACCAAAACAAACAAAAAAAAAATCTGTATCTTTGGAAAAGATTTTGTGAAACTCTGCAGTGAAAGTCTACACTTTATTACCCAACAGTGTTTTTATTGTCAGTGGATATATTTTAAAGACAAAAAAGGGCCCAAATGGGTCATATTTTTAGTGTCTAACATTTCAGCAGCCTGTAAAGACTCAAAAACGTACTGCTGGGAGAGTAAGGATGTTCACAAAAATGAATGTTCCTGCTAAGGTTTTGCTGATGCCTGTTAAAACAAGGCCTTCTAGTAGACAAAGAGACCAATGGGGTTTACTAAGAGGTCAGTGGGATTCCCTCAGGCCAAAGAGTGTAGGGATTAGCAAAGTGTGCAAAGAGCTGATTTTCTAGCAGATTATGTACAATCTGTTCACCGTATAGAAGACCCATCATCTCAGTACTCTGACGCTGCAGAGCCTATCTAATTCAACGACAAATTGGATGATTTTTGCAGCATCGCCTCACTTTTACTCAGCTTCAGTATGGAAAAAAACAATTTTGCTGAACATTAGGGAGAGTTCAGCCTTCTGCTTTTCGACATAATGACCAATCTTTATTGTTTGGGTTGCCAGTTTGAAGAAAAATACACATCTCAACACATCTTGAAAAACACCAACTCCAAAGGTACTTTTTACCAATCAAAAGACGGAAAGCAATTCATAAAAAGAGATTTAAGCTGAACTGCCAAGTAACTTCTAAACACTCAGAGCAGATGATCTTATGTTATGTGATATTCAAGAGGTTCTTTGTAATCACGAGTCCCATAATTGTCACAGTCACTTTAGATGTGACAGAAGTGCCTAAATGACCATATGCAATTTGGTGCACATGATTACTATGCTTACTCTGTTGTTGTTCATCTGTAAATGAGGTAGAACCTTTATGAAAAATGATGGTCTTTAAGATTAAAAGTTAAAATCTTTGAAGTCTTGATTCAGTAAAACAAAAAATGGAAGATGTTAGGAACAAGTACCTACTTATTACAGATTTAACCATAGGACCAAGTTTATGCAGAGAATATAAAAGAAAAAAATCAGATGTAAAAAGATGAGCTTGCATAATTGCAATATATATAAATATATTGCAATTATATATACTGCTAAAAAAAAATAAAGGGAACATTTCACTTTAATTTTGTGTGTGGCTCCAAATCCAGGCCTCCATTGGTTAATAAATTTGATTTCCATTGATGATTTTTGTGTGATTTTGTTGTCAGCACATTCAACTTTGTACAGAACAAAGTATTCAATGAGAATATTTCATTCATTCAGGTCTAGGATGTGTTATTTGAGTGTTCCCTTTATATAGTCAGGTAAGTTTTCATGCTGGTCCATTGTGGGAAAGTGCAAAGAGATAATAACTCACAAGAAGATTTGATTAGGTTTATCTCACTAGCCAGACGGCTCCTTAACTACATCAAGGAAAATGAACAGATGGCAGTCGAGTCTGACTGCAGCATTCTGACACAGCCACACCCCCA